CTATGTTGCCCGTCAGTCGCCGTCACCGAGAAAATTAAGGTGCTGCCGTCTGTCACTCCGTCACTGCTCGTCTGCCGCCGCCACCACCGCTCTTATGCGCGCTCTCCAGACAATGCCGCTGCTGTCTGTCACGCCGCCGACGTATTCACGCTGTCTGTCATTCCATATGCCGCTGTCGTTCTCACGCCGCCGCCGTCCTCAATCCGTCGTCCGCCGCCATTTAACTTCCCGGAACGCGACAACCCGACTCTGGCCGACTACAACTGCCACATGCCTGGCCGAAACCATCGGGGATCCGTCTCGCTGCCGAAAGTCGAAAGAGGTGGAGCTCGGGTTTGCCGCCATTAATATTGCCGCCTCTGACATCCTCCTCCACCGGGAAGCGCCGTCGCACACCGGCCGCCGTCGTCCCCCTCGTCCTTACTTCAATTCGATGATCAAGGTGCAGCAACCAGTAGGAGCTCGACAGTCATTGATGGAGGGTGAAGAGATTGGGGATTAGGGCATTCTTTTGAGAATTGAATTTTGTGCAGGGGCTTGATTGCAAATTATTAAAGATTGAATATATTTCAATTTGATAATGTGACAAATGTGCAATTTACAGAAAATTTAATAATGTATAATAAATTTGCAACTTTAAATTAGGGATCTAGGGGTTCAATGATTTTTTATTTTTTATTTTTTTTTGTAAGTAGACAATGTTGAGGGACAATTTTGCTATTTTATTAATTTTGAGTATTTTCTAATTTAGTTTATGACAAAATATGTAATTTTAGTAATATCTCATAAATGAATATTAATGATAAATAAAGTGTACAATGTTTAAAACATTTAATATGTAAAATTGTAATATATAAACAATATTAAAAATAATAAATATACTTTTGTAATAATAAATATTAAATACTCTCCGATTGTACGATAGTGTTACACGAATTGCACTTTAACGACTACCAAGTTGCACCATATTATTAGACGAATCGCACATAATGATCGAAACTGCATATAAATGAATATTAATGATAAATATACACTATTTTTAAAACTTTTAATATGTAAAATTGTAATATAAAAAAAATTAAATTAATAAATAATAAATACACTCCAATTGCACGAATGTTAGACAAACTGCACTTTAACGACTACCAAGTTGCACCATGATGTTACACGAATTGCACGTAATGATCGAAATTGAATAAACTAAAGATTTCGTTACGAAATCTTATATTTCGACTCAATTATTTATTTTCATCTGTAAAATATCAATTGGCAGTTCAATATCAACATTATTTTTTTTTAAATGTCAAAAATAATCAAAGCGGCTAGCTAAATAAAAAATAATTTTTATATACAACTATTATTTATTTTCAGCTAGAAAAAAATTAAATACTAAACATAAATATTTAAAATATTAAATATATTTTTTTTATAATTCAAACATTAAACTATTTATAATATTTCAAGTATTTCTGTAACTGATTATTTACATTCAATTTTAGTTTGAGTAAGAACAAAATATTAAAAATATATGCGCTGCAAGTGCACCATACTATCAGATGAATTGCACATTAGTGAATATCGAATTGCACTTAATCGATTGAACTAATTTTTTCAGTTTAAAATTTTACGTTTTGGTTAGATAATCTGTTTGTACTTTTAAAATCACGATTATTTCAGTTTGAGGCCGACATTTTTTTTTCAAATAGTTGAAAGAATTTTCCCCGTCGCTTCCCCTTCCTATTTCCCCGTCCAATTTCTGCCCCTTTAATCTCTGAATTTGTCAGTCGCCTT